CTTAAAAAAAAAAAAAAAAATTTAATATTAAAATCAATCTATACAGTAACAGCAGTTGGTCAAGATTGGAGTACATCCTTCAAACTGTTTTATTATTTTTTTAACTTACTTTTTGGGATACCAAGGATTGAACTGAAGGGCACTCAACCACTGAGCCACATTCCCAGCCCAATTAGAGACAGGGTCTCACTGAGTTGCTTAGTGCCTTGCCGTTGCTGAGGCTGGCTTTGAACTCAAGATCCCCCGTCTCAGTCTCCTGAGCTGCTGGGATTACAGGTGTGCGCCATGGCGCTCAGCCAAACTGATTTTATATGCCAGCATTTCAAATTGTTCTGTAAGCACAGACAAGTTAAAATCAAATAAGGATCAAATCATGCAGACCTCAGTACAACATGTCAACATGCTGACCTTCTTGTACTTCCATTTCCTCATTCATTTAAATGTTTACACTGCATTCCATAAAGCTTTTGACACTTCTGTTAAAAGCTCTAGAAAGTGAATGAGTTAAAGACACTGTGCATCCATCCTTAAAAAGGTTCAGCACAATTACTATGTGACCTAAACAATTCCATTCCTAGACAGCTGCTCCAAGAAAGTTCATACATGTCACACAAATACTTGTGCACAAACATTTATAGCAGTATCATTCACAACAAAAAGTGGAAACAACCCAAATTCCACCACTGATTAATATATAGAAATAAAATGTATTACATCCATATAATGGAATATCAAAAAGGGATGTAGTACTGATTCACACTACAAATATCGAACCTTTGAAAACATTTTGAGTGAAAGAATCCATACTACTAAAATATCCCCCAAAAAAGCAAATCTAAAAAAAAAAATTATAGATTAGTGGTTTCCAGGGTTGAGGGGGAGTGACTGCTACACAGATATAGGGTTTCTTTTAGGGGAGATGGAACTCTCCTAAAATTGATTATAATGATGGATGCACAATTCTGTGAATATGCTAAGTGCTCGTAATTTTGTCATGTGTGAGAATTATCTCAAAGTCATTATTAAAAACACAGAAAGAAACCAGGCACTCAGTGGCAAAACCTGTAATCCCTTCCCGAAATTTGCTCCCTCTAGAAGCTGAGGCAGGAAGATCTTAAGTTTGAGGGCAGCCTGTGCAACTTTGCAGACCCTCAACAATTTAATTGAGACCCTGTCTGGGTGGGGGGCGGGGGGAGGGGAGGGGAGACTGACACAGCTCTAATGTAGCTCTGTGGTAAAGCACCTCTGGATTCAATACTCAGTACCCCACCTAAAGAAAGAAAGAAAAAAGAAAAACCCATACAAAAAGATGTCTGAAAGGATTTTTTTACAATAACAGTGTGATCCTCAAATTACATATAATTGATATCCAATAAACATTGGTTGATGAACACACTTAAAAAAAACTATACTTATCAAAACAATGTTATTATACAAAAACATTGTCTTGCACACAGTAAAAGTCTAGTTATTATATAGATGAGCTCACTGAATACCCACAAATCATATATTAAAAAGAATGTGCTTTTTTTTGTTTTTAAAGTGATCATGTTTTTAGTGACAACATGGGATTCACATTAAGAAATTCTATCCATACATGCCTGGGTTGAACTACAATCCAAATTCACTCATTACACATTTCAAATTGCTAAATGGAGGGCTTCACTCTATAGTTGAGTGCTTTCCTAGGATGTGTGAGGCCCTGGGTTTGTTCCCACAACAAAAACAAACAAATAAATAATTAAATAGCCGAATGAGAAATGTACAATAGTCAGTACATAAAAGCAACTGCATGCCACACTGCTCACATTAAGTCTACAGAAATACCTAGGGACCTCAATGTTATTTTAAAGCTCATATTCCTTATTAGTCACTATTGATCAATTATGTCCACTAACAATATTTTTAAAGGAATTACTTGCATTTTGTAATATGGACATGCCAAATACTTGTTCAATTATCTCTTAGCTTATTCACTCAAGAATTTAAGATCATCTTCTAAGCATTGAGTACACAACAAACAGAAAGAATGATAAACAAAAAACTATGCCTTCACGGAACTTATTTATTTATTTTTTGAGAGAGAATATATCTTTTTGTAGCTGGACACAACACAATGCCTTTATTTTTATGTGGTGCTGAGAATCGAACCCGGGTCGTGCCCATGCTAGGCCAGTGCTCTACCGCTGAGCCACAATCCCAGCCCAAATTTATTTATTTATTTTTAAGTAGCTTAAGGACACTTTGTTTTTACAAACATGTCTTATGTTAGCATCAATAAGGAATCCCCCACAATTCACCTAGTAAATGTCCAGTCTTTTCTAAACACAAAGATTTATGAAACATTAGTAGCAGCTTTTCTCTCCTTTTATTAAGACCAACATGGTCTACTTTACAAGATTAATCAAAATTAGAAATCAAAATAACTGACATCCATACAATCTTGACAGACCATGACAGTGGGTTGTAGGAAGCTCATTTAATAGCCCAGGATTCAAATTGCTGAGGCATCAAACAGTTTTTGCTTAAAAAACAAACTTCAAATCTCTCCAGAATCTGTGGATCTCAAGTCATTCAATAACCTGAATTGTGTAATGTGAAAATATTGCATTCTCCCCCACCTCCAAAAAAAGGTAAATTTAGTACAAAGATCACAAAAACTGGCTCAAAAAGGTAACTTTTGGAAACAAAGTCTAAATTCCTTTAAACAATTCAATAATTTAGTGGAAATTTTACTAAAGAGGCCTAACCTTTCTTCTTTCTTTCTTTTTTTTTTTTTGCCTTGTTGTTCTCCAAGCTAGGAATATAGAAACCCCAAACTATCCTTAACCACTCTCATGGTTCTAATTTCTCAGAATGCAAAATTCCTTTAATTTTCAGCAATCTACATGTATGAGATGCTGGCAAGTTACAAGGAGGTGGAATCTTTCAGTTGAAACCATCTAAAATCATCTTAAGAGGTTTATAGACAACTTTACTCCAGCCTGAGCTTCTGGATACTTTCCACGCCTACCCAAGTTAAGAGTTATGGAGGATAAGAGCAGCAATGTATGTAAGTTCCAGATTAGGCTTTTCCATCTCAATTTGATCAATGGAAATCATCTTAGAGGTTCACTTTTCCCCAAAGTTTTTTTTGGGGGGAAGGGGTTGGCTACCTACCATGTCTTGGTGAAAAGATAACTCCTATCCAAATTTATCCTAAAGGAATGTTCATTAAATTATTGTCAAAGTCATAAAACAGACTGTGGCATACAAGATTGCCTTGAAATTGGAAACACATTCATAAATTCTTTTGAATATAACTTTCTTTACAACTTCCAAGATCTACAAATTCCCAGGGCTAACAATTTTGGAAACTTAACAGTTCTACTCATAAAAATCTCCCAAACATAATTCCAGCACCAAAAAGTCACTGGATTAGAGACACACTGCAGCTTGATTTTTTGGTAACTAAGGACTTAGAAGAGCCTTCTCAAAAAACATTTCCGATTCTTACAAGGCACAGAGTACAAGACGTCACTTGTAACCAACATATAAACACAAAAATGAACCCAAGAACCAAGACGATAAACCTTACCAGGTTGCATAAACAAACAAATAAGCAAGCAGATTAAAACAACAATTCAAAAACAAAGCGTTTTCTTCAGTAAAAGGGAGGTCAGCCACTCAGCAGAAGCACATGACTCATCCACGGGCCTGAACATAAGTATTTACACCGTCCACTACACCCAAAGTGGGATTTCCCATCTTCATCCAAGGCCGAGCTTTGGGGGCATCACAGGAGAACGAAGTTGTGCTATTTCCGTGTGTGCGCGTGCAGGGTGGATCATTTTATTTCGCTGAATCACAACTCCCCCACATTCCCACCCCAAACCAGAACACACACATACAACACCTCAAACAGGAGGCCAAGGCAAGGACGCCAGTTAGACCGACCCAACAAAACAAAGCGCCCAGCGAGGGGCTGCCAAGCTGGGGATGGGTGGGTCAGGAGAGCCTGGCTCGCCCAAGTCACCTCTCCCATCCCCTGGGGGTTGTCTTCGGACAGGCGTGAGATGGCAGCCCCCTCCCTCCAGAGGAAACCTGCCTGGTTCTCGACAGAGCCAAGGGTGACGTCTCATAAGGTAAGAATACGGGGCGGGGGCGAGCTGCCCCAGTCCGGGCAGAAGAACCCAGGTGCCGGAAGAGCGCGCCGTACAAAGCCCACGTGAGCGCCAAGGCCCTGACGGCTCCGGAGTGTCTCAGCCTGGTACAGAGGCGCCCGCGGCCACCACGCCGGGCCCGGACTTACCCCGGCCCGGCGCGCCGCGGACCCCGCGGCGGCCGCTTCCTCCTCCTCCTCCTCCTCCTCACTTGACAAAATGGCGGCGGCAGGAAGTGCCGGGCGCCTCGGCCCGCCCCCCGCCCGCCCCCGGCCGCCCGCCCCGCCGCGGCGCCCGCGCCCCTCGCCTGCAAGCCTGCCCCTCCGGTCGAACTGAGTCTGGGGCCACGGCGCCAAAGGTGGGACGCCGGCAAGCCACCCGACCACCCCGAAGCCACGGGTGCAGCGGACCCGACCCGGCGAGAGCGGCGCGGGAGGCCCACAGGCCCAAACCCGCGTAGCCCCAGCCTCCCCGCCCCCGCGCCGCGCCGATGGCGTAGGTGGTGCCGCACCGGCCCCATTACGCAATGCAGGTTACGCGGGACGCGCCGTGGACCCCCGCTGCCCGCCCTGGGCGCCCGTCGCCCCGAAGGGCACCGGTCCTTACCTGAGACTCTAGGCCGCACGCCGCCCCCGCCGGCCGTCCGCTGCCGCCGCCCCCTCTCTCCTGGGCTGCCTGCGCGGCGCCGGGGCCCGCCCGCCGCGCCCACCGCTCCGCTGCACTCACAGGCCCAGCTCGCCCGCAGGCACCGCCGGCAGCTGCCGCCGCCGCCGCTGCCGCCACTGCTACTGCTTCGGCTCCTCGGCTGCGGAGAGCAGAACAAACAGCCCTGCCGCCGCCGCCGCCGCCGCCAGCGCACTGACGTCACCGCGCACGCTGCGCGCGCGACCACGTGCTGTCGCCGCCGCCCTGCGTGCGCGCTCTGTCCCGGCGCGGGAGCGAGCAAGCTGCGCAGAGGTAACTGCGGAGGTGAAGAGAGTGCAGGGATCCGACGCGCAGGGTTTGAGGTAATCTCGCTGCTGGAAGGGACCCAGAAGATCTAATGAGGGCGATCCCTCAGACAGAGAGAGGGGTCCCCGCAGACTGAGAAAAGGGCCCCACAGACCTTGCAGACTAGAGAGGGGGCCCCACAGACCAAGGGAAGGAGCTGAGGGAGACCCACGGACTGGAGGCTGCGCCTGAAAGAAAAGATCTGAAGGTTGAGACAAGCGTCCAAAATTTTACGGAGGATATTGATGATAGACCCTCAGAGAGAGGGAGGACGACGCAGAGATCCCGAGGACGGATGGAAGGGACCGGGAAGAGACTCCTGTCTGAGGGAGGCCGCCTGAGTGAAAGCTGAGCGCCGGAGACGGTGGTGCCGGGATGAAGGCGAGAGCTACGGTGTGGGCGCTGGGTTGAGGTGAAGTGAAGGAAAGGAGGTAAGAGAAGGCTGTCTCCAGGCGGAGACGGCACCTTTCTTAGCTGGTCCCTGGGATCTGAAGATCGAAAAGCGCTGGTCTCCGAGCCCAGGGCACTCTCATCCTTAAGATTCAACCCATAAGTCAACTCCTTCCAGTATAGGCTTAGTCTAGATGTGTGACCCCTGGACAATCACAGACCCCTTCTGGGGCTTACAAAGAAAACATCGACCCAAAGCACAAAAAGGCTTTTGGGATCTGTAAAGGGAGGCTAAGCTTAGGTCTCTTGCAACTTAATGTGACGATTCTGTGAAATTTCTCAAACCTGGAAACAACCACCGCCTCTCCCGCGTTTACCTTTATCTTCACTCTCGTCATTTTTAGTCCCATCTTTTAAAAAATAGATGGGGTTGTAGCTTCATAGTAAAACGCTCGCCCAGCAAGCACACCCCCCCCCCCAGCACCACCAAAAGAGAGAGAGGAGGGAGAAGAAGGAAAGAAAAGAAAGCAAACTAACTCCACTCCAAAAATTCTAGCAAGAATACAGGACAAAACAAAAATTCTAGCAGTCCACTGTAGTGGCGCATCCCGTTTATCCCAGCAATTTATTTATAACCCTAGCAACTGGGGAGGCTCGAGCAGGAGGATGGAAAGGCCAGCCTCAGCAGTTTAGCTAGAACCTAAGCAAATTAGTGGGATCCTATCTCAAACACTAAGTAAAGGGAAGGGGGTGTGGCTCAGTAAAGCACCACTGGGTTCAATTCCCGGGTCAAAAGTTTTTTAAAATAAAATAAAAAAATTCTAAGTAGTAAAGATTTTCCTCATGACTTCTTATTTTAGAATACATTGATATGACTGGATAACATTAAAATGAATTGCTTTTTGCTGGGCATGCTGTCACATCCTAATGCCTGAATAAACTAAGACAGGAGAATGCAGGGTTGAGGCCAGCCTGGGCAATTTACCAAGATCCTGTCTTAAAATAAAAAATAAAAAGAGTTAGGGATGTGTCCTCATTACCATCAGTTTTTTAAAAAAATTACACACACACACACACATATATATATATATATATACATATATATATATATAAAACTTTCTACTGTGTTGTTTGTTCATGATTAACCAAGGGCAATCATAGTTAATGATGAGTTCTAAGAAGCAAACTAAAAACTAAATTTCACCTTTTATTTATTTATTTACTTATTGATTGATTTCATTCTTTTTTTTTTTGTGTGTGTGTGTGGTAATGAAGATGAAACCCAGGGCCTCTCAAATTCTAGGCAGATTCTCTACCACTAATCCCCAGCCTTTTTTATTTTATTTTGATCACATATTACACTTGATCTTAGCCAAAAGGCCAAGAAGCAATTTTTATTTTGAGACAGGTCTTCTAAATTGCGCAGGCTGGCCTCAGAATCCTGCCTCAGCTTTTCAAGTAGCTGGAATTATAGGCATGTACCTACCCACTGTGCTAAACTTACTCTTCATTTTAACAAAGCATGAGATAAATAATTAATTGCACAAACTAAAGGTGTTAATTGTAACTGATTCCTCAAAGCTTCCTTCTAATTTGTGTTACAGAGTATTGAAATTTGTGAATATCTTCTGGCTCCTGATTTTGCCCACTCAGCAATTTGTGGAAGATGATCAGAAGAAAAACAAATAGGAATGTACATAGGGTTATGTAAATATGAAATAACAACTAGTTTGTTGTTGTTAAAGAAACAGGAATGTATCCATTTTAGGTTGCCCTTTCCCTTCATTGTCTTGCATTATCTATTTAATTTATTATTGTTATAGACAAAAGATATATTTGGAAGTAATTGGGAACTGCCAGTTTGAAAGTCACATAGTAAAATCTGTCATTTTTTATGAATACTTAGAAGAAAATAGAAGATACATTAGCCAGTTATTATATAAAGAAATAAAACAAGAACTGGGCACAGTGTCCCATGCCTGTAATCCCAGCAACTCCAGAGGCTGAGGCAGGAGAATCATGAGTTGAAAGCCAGCTCTCAGCAGGTTAGTGAGGCATTTAGCAACTCAGCGAGACCCTGTCTCTTAATAAAATATAAAAAAGGCTTAGCTGGGGATATGGCTCACTGGTTAAGCACCCCAGTTTCAATCCCTGGTACCAAAAAGAAAAAACAAAAAGAGAAATATAACAAGCTGGGTGCCTTGGCACACACCTGCAATCCCAGCATCTTGGAAGGCTAAGGCAGGAGGATCACAAGTTCAAAGCCAGCCTCAGCAACGATGAGGTGCTAAGCAACTCAGTGAGACCCTGTCTCTAAATAAAATACAGAATAGGGCTGGGGATGAGGCTCAGTGCTCGAGTGCCCCTGAGTTCAATCTGTGGTACCTAAAAAGAAAAAAAAGAACTATAACAATCCAGGTGTGTTGGCACAAATTTGAGGTCAACATAGGCAATTTAGTGAGATCTGTTGCAAAATAAAAATAAAAAATACTGGGGATATGGCTCAGTAGAGTGTCCCTGAGTTCAATCCCCAGTACAGGAAGGAAGGAAGGAAACAAGTAAATAGTAAGTTCTTTCAAGTAGATATTTCTTTATTATCATATGGAAAATACTCTGCAATTTTAATTTGTGGATTTTTTTTTCTTTCTTTTTTATGGTGGTACTGGAATTAAACCCAGGGCCTTACAAGGGCTCCACCACTTAGCTATATTCTCAGCTCTTTTCATTTTTAATTAAAAAAAAAAAATGTAGTTGTATACAGACAGAATGCCTTTAGTTCATTTGTTTGTTTATATGTAGTGGTAAAGCTCAAATCCAGGGCCTCACATGTGCTAGGCAAATGCTGTGCCACTGAGCAAAACCCCAGCCCTTTAATTTTTAATTTTGAGATACAATCTTGATAAGTTGTCCAAGCTAGCCTTGAACTGGTGATCCATCCTCCTTAACTCCCTGAGTAGTTAGGATTATAGGGATGTACCAAGAGACCCAGCAGTAGATTTTTTTAGTCATTTTAAGTTTATATAAAATTTGGGCAGGGGCTGGGGCTCAGCGGTAGAGTGCTTGCCTGGCACATGTGAGGCACTGGGTTCAATCCTCAGCACTGCATAAAAATAAATAAATAAAATAAAAGTATTTTGTCTTTTTAAAAAAGTATGCTTCATCATAAAGCATTACTATTGTACTTGCACAAACAGGCACATATTGGTCCTAAGGATGATTTTAGTCTCTGCTATTTTATTATTAATCTGTATTTTGTTGTGTTTTTACTTAGTAAGTTTAAATTTTCTTTTTCTTTCTTTTTTTTAGTACAGGGGATTGAACCCAATGGTGCTTAACCACTGAGCCATATTCCCCCATCCACAGCCCTTTTTATTTTTTGTTTTGAGACAGGATCTTGCTAACTTAGGACCTTACTATGTTGCTGAAGCTAGCCTTGAACTCGTGATACTCTTGCTTCAGCCTCCCAAATCTAAGATTTACAGGCATGAGCCACCATGCCTGGCAAATAAATTTTTCAAAGTTTCAAAATATAAAGAAAATGCAGAGGTTATACATAAGCTAAAAGTCATTAGACCAGATGCAATGATACATGTCTGTAATTTCAGGTACTTAGGAGCCTGAGGCAGGAGAAGCACGAGTTTGAGACCAGTCTAGGCAACATAATGAGAACCTGTCTCAAAGTAAAATATAAAATAGAGCAGGGAATGTAGCTTAGTGGTAAAATGCCCCTGGGTTCAATCCCAAGCACCACAATAAAAATATAAAATAGGCTGGACACAGTGGCACACACCTGTAATCCCAGTGATTTGGGAGGCTTGAAGGATGATCACAAGTTCAAGGCCAGACTCAACAATTCAGTGAGACCCTGTCTCAATATTTATATATATGCATGTGTGTGTGTGTGTGTGTGTATTTTTTTAAAAAATCCTTAGGAAGAAGTCTGAAGGTCAAACAAGGAATGACAGTGGATATTTGGTTCACAATCTTTTTTTGTTGTTGTTGTTTGTTTTTGTGGTACTGAGGATTGAACCCAGGGCCTCATACATGCTATGTTTGACTAAAATCTAACACTTTGACTTTATCTGATGAAACTGAAGCTTCATTGAACCATATGACCCAGTATTTCTATTTCACAGAAACTTGCTGACACACTTTAGGAAGTTTAAAAAAGGTTTGGGCCGGGCAGGGTGGCACACTCCTGAAATCCCAGCGGACCCGGAGGCTAAGACAGGAGGATGGTGAGTTCCAAGCCAGCCTCAGCAATGGTGAGGCACTAAGCAACTCAGTGAGACCCTGTCTCTAAATAAAATACAAAATAGGGCTGGGATGTGGCTTGGTGGTCTGTTAGAGTCTGTAAACAAGTCAAAATAACACCTGGCATTTTACCAGGGGAATGTTAGAGTTGGTAAACAAGTCTGGATGGTGCCTGGCAAAATGCCAGAGGGAGTGGTTTGAGAAGTAACAAAAGTGAGCCATTAAGTGTAGAGATTCCTTATTGGTTGACTGATGTATCTAGTTTATGCTAATTAGATAAGCTCTGTGGAATGTATAAATACTGCTCCTGTCCTGCAATAAACGGCTCCCACTCCTGCTGTATCAACGTTCACAAGTTGTTCGTCACCCCCCGGTTATTTTGCTGCAGCCGGACTGCGGCAGTGGTCAAGTGCCCCTGAGTTCAATCCCTAGTACAAAAAAAAAAAAAAAAGGGTTGGAATGGTGCTGTTCCTAAGAGCTCACACAAAAGTTAACCCAAATGTCCATTTATGGTAGCATAAATAAACAGTAATGTAATGCAACTGAATACACCACAGGCACATATGGTAACATGAGTGATTTTTATGAACATAAGGGGAAGCCAAAGAAATGGGCACATATGCATATATGATGGCTTAATAATTGTGTAGGTGTCAAAAACAGACAGGCTGAATAAACTATAAAAACAAACAAGTAATTATTCCTGGTTAGCTGAGGGAATGATCAGGAAAGGATGGGCAGGGAGGAGATGTTGGTTTTCTGAGATTTAGCAATGTTCTATTTCTCC